CTATAAAGCGTAGCACAGGGTGCCCACTCAGGCCAGAACGCAATATTAAGATAAGCAACGCGGTCTGGTTTAATGTTAGTACAATAAAGAACACATAGAGAAGTTGAGCTAGTTGATTTATTTGAGTCGTAGTGGTGTATTGCGTGGGATGGTGTAGTGTAGTAAGGTTGAGATGGATAGATATTCCATCGAGTAGCTCAAAATGAGATGGTTCAGGTGGATAGAAAGGTAGATGGGGCGATATATAGAGGTTATATCAGGTGTCTACAGTGGTTTAAAGCACTGAAATAGGTTAGTGTTAGTATGGGGTTGGCAGTTTTAGAAGAATGCTAGAGTTGTTATAGTCTTTGGGTCTTCCACACCAAACCAATTAAGCACTAGTTATTTGGATGAGGGTACAAGGTTCAGATATACAGACTTCTCTACATTGAGTATGATAGACGTGCGTAGGGGGTTGCTTATAAAGGGCATCTATTAATGACTCTATGCTATTGTACGATAAGTAGAAGTAGCAGTGATTATCCTTCCATGGTGCGGGTTGAAGCAGTTCGGAATGGGCATTAGAGTCGCAGGCACTATTATTGGGGAAGATAAAGACCGGCGAAGGAATGCCTATAAGTCGGTTGAAGGTGCCTGTATTTTGCTTGCATTTGGTGCAAGATTGGGCATGGCTTTTGCGCCTTATCTCGAGACAACGAATGCAGACTGGGCATCCACAGCCGAGATAGAAAAGCATGTCGATGTTTGTATTTGAGTTGAATTGGGAATTGAATTTCATAGTAAATAACCTCTTAATATCCCATTTCTTAGCTCGCTTTCCTTGTGGTGGCATATAAAGAGTTCTATTGCAACATGGACAGTAAGGCACATCGCCATCCCTCTTCAGTTTCTGGAGGCTAGTTATGATGGTATGGAGAGTTGCATTGGAACTATCGTAATTGGGGATTAGGTCCTCAATTTTGTCACAGTAGGTGTAAAGTTGAGACAACACTTTATATGATACGGCGAGGAATGTGGGCATAGGATCTGAAGTAATTTCTAACAGATTGTTATAATAGGGATGCAATGATAGCTCAAGTGGGTCTTTGTCGGAAGTGGCATCCTCTATCTGAATGAACTGAAGATAGGGTAGAGCATTGATCATATACTTGCACGAAGCCAAGATCTTTCGGTCTTCTTCGGTCAGTTTAAAGTTGGCCAGCCAGAGTGAGGTTATATTTTTGAATCGGCAACTTACCCAGCAGATAATAGTATTCAGATCTGCTTGAGTTAAGAATTGAGTGTCATTAATGCGCAAGAACATAGTAGTAATGGAATCAGGCTGGACTGAGTTTGGAATTGGAGTTAGAGTTAGAGTTGGGTTGGGTTGAGTGAGAGAAGTGGATTGGTACTTAGCAAGGTCGATTTTTAAGGCATCAAAGGTAGTAGTGTAATAAGCAAACTCTTTCATATCTATCATATGAGGTTGGCGGGGGAAAGGAGGATCAGTGCTGTATTTATCAGACGAGGTTAGTACTTGGACACCAAGACCCCTGAGAGCTTGTAAGGGTATGTTATACGAGTCAAAGATGGTGGGTTCTGGGCGTAGAACGAGTTTGTGGAGGTCAATCTCTTCAGTTTCTTTCTTCCCTTTACGCTTCCCTTTGCGCTTTTCGAGATAGTTAAACAGTGAGAACTCATTCAATTCTTTTCGCTGGTGGAAATGCTTGATCTCATTTAGACGACTGATGCCATCGATTACGAGTTTGGAGATCTTTTTAGCCATAGGAAGGGTTAGTATTTGGGCGATAGCAAGACTAGTGAAGCGGTGATTTAGGAGATGAATTTCGGTTAGTTTTGAGCAAGTAAAGTCATAACAGCCTAGCATTCGGTATAAAATACATTCATCGACATCGTCTAGAATCAAAATCTCGACATTGAGGTTGTGTTTTAGAAGATTAGCTAAATCGCTTTCTAGTTTGGCCATGTCAAAGTTAGTGTTAGTTGAAGGACAATCACGCACATTTGAGATGCGAAGTTCCTGCGCATTGATGCTTCGTAAATGCCGTAGAAGGCCATTGCAGGCGCATGTGTGGTTCTGATCAGGATTTTTATCACCACTAATACTAAGTGTTGTGTAGCGTATATTCGGGCAGATAGGCCAGAGACCGAACTTGTTGAGTTTGAGATCGACTACTTCTTTAAGTTCCCAACAAGGGTCACTAAGTGCATGACCAAGGCACACAATATTCTTACCAGCAAGATTCGTTGGCATTTCTGATAACACCTTGTAATATACAAGAGACTCTAATTCAGCAGAGAAGTCCCATCGACCATCCTCATACTTAAACTCGATATCTTTAACAGCAATGCCAGATTTAGCAAAGGTTTCCGTAGTTAATACTTGCTTGTGATAAGCCGGGAAATCGCAAGGGGTCGAATCCGAGAGTGCAAGAATAGCCTTGCCGGCTACGATACGGGATTTAGAAGCCTTTTTAGCTTTGGCGGCCTTGATCAATGACTTAATAAACCCCGAGTGAAAAGTATTGTATACCAAAACATGAACCTTGACTCGAGACCTATTGTGCTTTGCAATATATTGAATGGAATGCCCAGATCCGGTTAGAATTATAGTTGGGCTTTTTGCAGGTACTTCTTCCTCAAGTCCGGTTATTACTGGGTCACTAACTTCGTGAATATCGAAGATGATTTTGGCGCATTTATGAGCAGCTTTTTGAATGCGTTTCAAGTTAATCTTAACATTTCGTTTTTCATAACGAATTATGAGAGTGTAGTTGCTTGATAGTGATAGAGGTTTGAGATATCCAGAGAGATCTGGGACATACTTGCTAGGCAAAGTGATGCCTGAAACAGGCCGCAATATAACGAGGCCATTAAATATATACTTTAGAAGGGCATTCGATGCCATATCTGAATTAATAGTTAAGTGAAATGGCGTTGAGTCATCCCAGTCAATTGCATTTTTAGCTTCTTTTCGTCCCCTATCTAAATCGAAACCACCTTTATATTTATCCAAGTTCTCATAGTAATTAACTGTAAATTTCAACTCCTTACATACAAATAGGTTAAGAAGTCGGCATAGAAGCACCAAACACTCTTTATGGAACGCTATACTGGCCCTATTATAGTTAATCTCAACATCTTCGGCATTAATCATAGTAATTTTTCTTATCTCATGCAATGCAATCGCTGGTGAATCTGGATAGATTGGTAATGTATAATAAAGGTGCAGGGTTGGCTCAACTATCGCATACCTAAGTGATGAGTTCGGTTGGGTTGAATTTGGGTTAGTATTATCAGTAACATCTGGAGTAGGTGTAGATTCCGGAGTTTCCTCTGAAGAACAGAATACAACACGAGGATTCGTGCCATTGAAGCTCCAACTGAACCCAATCTTTTTTAGAGATTTAAGTATCTCCTCTGAACTTGGCAAACCCGGCTGATATATTTCCATATTCGAGCCACTGACTATACTGGTCCAATGCAACAGTACTAACAAGACACACAATCTAATTGCAGTCCAATTAGATATCATTAATCTACAGCAAGATATCTTGGTTGTATAAGCATTGGTTCTTAAGGGAGTAGTTCTAGTGCTATGTCTCGCATTGTGTTCTATGAAAGGAACACAGTCTTTCAACTGCCGGAATTTAGCTAAAGACTTATCTTGGCTTGGACAACAAACGGGTTTATTGGGCAAAGACTGGTTCTGATGTTCTGAAGCGCACTCCTTATCGTTTCTTAATTCTTGTTTAGTTCTCTGCGGACTCTTCATTATGAGATTCTTATCAATTTCAAAATATATTTATTGGGTTAGAAAAGCGATATCCACTCATGTGATTACAGCCGACACAAACTACTTATCTAAATTGTAATAAATTGTGAAATATATTATCTATCATGTCTGCAGTTGACTTGCATCAAAGTATAGTTGGGATAGGATGCGAACAAAATGCAGTGGTGCTCAGATTATCTATTACATTCTTTTGGTGGGAGTTATGGTATAAAGGTGCAGTGGGCGGGGGAATGTGCTATAAAGCGTAGCACAGGGTGCCCACTCGGGCTAGATCACAATATTAAGATAAGCAACGCAGTCTGGTTTGCTTGGGTTAGGACAATAAAGAAGACATAGAGAAGTTGAGCTCGTTTGGTTTATTTGAGTTGTGATGGTGTTTTGCGTGGGATGGTGTAGTGGTGTAAGGTTGAGATGGATAGATATTCCATTGAGTAGCTCAAAAGGGCATGGCTCCGGTGGATAGAGAGGTAGATGAGGTGATATATATTGAGTATATCAAGTGGATATAGCGGTTTAAAACACTGAAATGGGTTAGTGTTAGTATGGAGTTGGTAGTTTTAAGACAAGGTTAGAGTTGTTATAGTCTTTGGTTCTTTCACACTAAAGTAGGTAAAAGAGCCTATTTGGGTGATTCAAATAGGAGTTAGAAGTAGCCAAAGATTGTGCA